GCCTTCCCTTTTCCTCCTTCTCCCCCTGGGAGCCCCCACCCGCCCCTCCGGCCGAGCCAGCCAGGATGCATGTGAGGGAGGTGGAATTTCTGCAGGTGTGAGGAGGCTGGGTGAAGCATGAGTCCTCCTCCCCTTCCCACCCTGAACCGAGCACCAGGGAGGTTTTTGTGTCCGAAGCAGGTTGGTTGGTTGGGGGTTTTTTTAACACCTTATCTGTGCTAAAATCCCAGCAGCAGTGGAATTCCAAGCTAACGTTGTGAAAGCAGATGGATGCATGCGTTGGAGGGCTTCCCCGATGATACAAGCCTTTTGCAAAGTTATTTAAAGAGTTTTTATTATTTTTTATGGAGCCAAATAGATCAAAAGGCAAGTCAGACTACAGCCTTACGAATACTTCTCTGAGATTCTCAGCTTCCAAAAGAATCACCATCAAAGACAGATTGTGACTTTTCTTGGACCTACTGGCATCTTACCCACATCCTGTCTTCCAGCCTTGGTTATCCGCGGGCGCCGAAACACGTGTTGGTGCTTCCAGAAGCACCTTTTGCTCTAGGGGACACAGGTAGTTCTGTGCCTGTCATTCTTCTCCACAAATATCTCCACTTCTCCCCCTTTGCTCAGCTGCCTTTTTCGTAAATATATGCAAACCGTAGCAAAAACGAGGCATTGGGCCAAGTGCAGGATGAGCTGGGAAAGGCGAGAAGCCAAGGCGAGGAGATCCCAGCGGGGGGGAATCTTGCTGCTCCTGTCCCATGGACTGTGGTGGGGCCAGGATTTCACCTGGGTACCTCGTTCTTCCTTGCCAATTCATCGCTGGTGGGTGTAACAAACATCTGCTTAATTCATGACAAAAACCTTCAGCGTTAGCTGCACTGGTTCCGTGTAAATTTTCAAATAAACCATTTTTTTCTTTAAATAAGAAGCAGGTTTCTCTCCCAGAGTCTCTTCAGACTGTGTGGGGCTGCTCCAGGTAGTTGGATTCTCCCTGTTCATATCGGCCACTGTTGCCTTCTTCCAGCTACACCTAAATAACAGTAACAACGTGTATTGGAAGTGTCTTGTTCCTGAGACGCAGCTTGTTCTACCTTCACTTCTTTGCTTCTGGTGCTTTTTTTAAATAATAATAAAAAAAAAAGCTGAAGACCTCACTCCTTCCTTGCCATCGAGCAGTTTTCTATGATGTCTGTGACAGTGGTACCTTGAAACCTGCCACAAAAGACAACCCAGAAGCCAAATGACTCAAGGTGCTATTTTCCTCCCTGCGGGCCAGAGAGCATTCCTGCAGGCCTGGTGGTCCCTAAGGAAAAGCGTGGTTCCACCCAGCAAAGGAATTAAAAGCATATTGTACATAAACCCCCATAAAGCAAATCATCTGGAAGGATTTAAGGCACTCGGTGCCGGGATTTGGTGGAGTGCGGTGGGAGCTTCTGTCCTGGCACTTGCAGAAGCTGGTTCTCTGTTCATTCCCTGATTCCAGTTGCATCCTGGGTTTATGGCATTCACTCCTTTTCTCTCTGCTCCTCAGTTCCTTGCAGGCATTCATTCACCACATCCTCTCTGCACCCATCATCCCAGTTCATGCTGGGAGCCTCCCAGCTCCCAGGCTCCTGCTGGGTTGGTCTGGGGGTGCCTCAGCAGTGTGGGAACACGAATCTTTCCTAAAATCTTCTGTGAGGCCACGCCAGCATTGCTGCTGCTGCTCCTTGGACTGGAGGAGTTAGTGAGACTTGTTGCTTTAGCCAGTGAGCATGGATAACCCTCTTCCTTAAATATGGGAAGAGCAGAGTGGGTCGTGCAGGAACATTTTGATTAACCTGTAAAAATCTCATTTTGTATTTTAGCTTCTTTTCCTTCTCTTCCCCTATTTAAAAAGCTGTAAAAACCCACCCAGTATGTCTTGTTTGGACCTTTATATACCTTTTCCCAGTGGTTTTGGGGGGGTTTCCAGAATGAGGACGTTCCCTTATGCGGGCTCTGTATTTATTGTCATTTACCCTGTAAATATGGAGGGGGTGGGGGTGCCTGAGGTCCTGAACATGCAGCCTCACCTGTTACGTGTAGACAAATACATACAGTACTTAAAGATTTATCTGTAGCTTTGCTTTTTATATGTAAAAATCTATTTAAAGAAAGAATTTTAAGACCCAAACAGTTCAAACCCCTGGGTTTGTGTGACATTCCGATTGCCCATCCCCTCTGATTCCAGTGTGTCCATCCACCTTCTAAGGAGGAGCAGGTGTGGCCTGAGTCCCCCTCTTCCTCCTGCCCTCGCCCTTGGGTGACTCGATTTTGTAATTGGAGTTACGGGGTGCTGAGCTTGACTTCACAATTCCTTTGGAAATGCTGTATTATTTTCTTTCCTTATTTTTATTAAGGGTGGGCAGAGAGCCAGGCAGCACTCAGGAGTGTTCCCTAATTGTGCCACTTCGAGGCTCTTTGAGCTGAGGATGCAAAAAATAAAAGCAAATTGAAAAAAAAAAAAAGGAGAGAAAAACGGAAAATCCACATAAAAACTAACTTCTCCCAGGTTACTGTTATAACCTCACACGAGCTTCTGTCCCACTAACACCATGTACCAAATAAACCCCTTCTAACACCTGATGTCTAGTGAAGTGCTTTGTTTTGATGGAGGTGTGCAGAGTTGGGAACACAGGAATTAATCTTCAACCTTCCGTGCTCCAACTTGGGTTCAAAAACAGGAATTTGGGCACTTTTTTTTGTATGCTGAAACTTTATAAACTTCATCAGTTGCTCCAGGTGATCACATCCCTCCAGCTTCTCTCTGGGATCTCTCGGATCTACTGCCTATGCAAACTTCTGCTCTTGGAGATTTAAACAAAACCCCACTAACTCTGCCTGTGCTGCATCTCGTCTTTGTACTTCCCTTCAGGGCTTTGTATACTTCACTGAGGTTCCCTTTTTTTAATTTTTTCTAAATATATATATATATATATGTGTGTGTATATATATACAGACTTAGTCCTGAAACAAATAACCCCCATAGAGGTAAAACATGGATACACTCGGCCTCCAGAACTTGCAACTCATTTTTTTAAGCATTTGTACATGTAAATGTTCCTCCTTGAATTCCTTGATTATCCTAATGTTTTATTTAAAACGTGAGTGCCAGGAGTACAGAGCGTTTTGGCCACGGCATGGAACAGGGGCCGAAGGCATTGTCCTGCCTGAGCCCTCTGGAAAACATCCCAGGGATGCATGGACTTGGATAATATCCTAAAGGGTGGAGACAAACGAGGTCCTTGGTGTCTGTCAATTCAGAATTTCCAAAAATACTATTTAAAAATTGTTCATTCCCCAGCTTTGTGTGTTTTAGGGTCACCCCAAAGCCTCTCAGCTCTGGAGTGACCGTGTGGAGGTGGAGGGGGACATCCCTGAGGAAGGTTTGCAAAATGACTGTCCTTTCCCTTTTCCTTCTTTTTTTTAAATCAAAAATCAATGTTTTGGACAACAAAATAAGTATTTTTTTGTACGAAAGGAAACCCACTCCAGCATTACTTCCCCTTCTGTATCCTCTCCCACTCCTGCCTTTAAACACTCTGCTTTCCTGAAGTGAAGCCTTGTGGCTTTGAGGTGGGTGGGTGTGTTTTGGGACTGATGGCTCTGTCCCTGTCTCCAAGCACCCCCCCCAACACTCCCCCTTTTGCACATTGCCCTTGAGGAAAGAAACTCCATGAAAACAATGCAAAAACTGGAATTTTTTGCAATATTCTGAAAGATAATCTTAATTTTCGCTCATTCTGTGACACGTGCGACTCCTACAAAAGCCATAATTAATGGTTCCTTTGATTTTTGTAGATCCTGAATTGTTTTGAATTTCAGCCTTTTTTTTTTCTAGTCCCCCCTAGTCAGAGTGCTGTGTGTATGCTTTCATATATATTTATTTTTCAACGTGCTTTAAACCTGTCTACAAAAATAAAGCTGAACAAACACAAAAAGGACGGTGTTTGAAGATTGTTGATTTTTTTTTTTCTGGGAATATTCTATATTATACTGACTTTATATTAATTATTATAAACCTGTGTTTGTATTGAAGATGTGTTTAATATTTTGGGGAGGTTGAGGAGATTTCGTAACCAGAAGTCAGTGGGAGAACATGCTGTGTTGTACTGATTTTCTGTCAATGTAGTTCAGGTAAATCTGATTTTATTTTCTAGTTGCTGCCCTGTTCCTCGCCTGCCGGGGGCTGCCCCTCGGATAGAACCTTTGTGATGGGATTTAGCTTAGACATACCTGCAAAAATCAATCAGTTTCAATAAATTGGGAAATTGCTGCTACAATTTTGTCTGGTTTTTCTTTTTTTTTTTTTAATACATAGTTGTTATTATTATTTTCTCCTTGCCCTGTGTTTTAAGGATGGGGTGACACAGGGGACCGTGGGCACCACCCAGCTGCAGCCCTGTGGTGCTGCAGGGCCCTGCATCCCCCCCCTGCTCCTGGATGTGGGGATAGGGGTCCCCACTCCCCAAAACCTCCCTTCACCCCAGCAGGGAGCTCTGCTTGCACTCAGGCTGGGGGTGCTGCTCCCTCACCCTTCCCCTTTCCCATCTCTATCCCAAACAGGCACCTTGTGGCTCATTCACCCCCTCCCTGCTGCATGTTGGTGGCAATTTCCTTATTTTTAGGGCTTTATCTGAAATTAAAACAACTCCCAGGAGGATGCACAGGGCGATGCCCTTCCCAGGGGATGCAGGAGGGGGGTGGCAGCAGGTCTGGGGGTGCCACAGGGCCCAGGGTGCCCACCCTGCCTGTCTTAACAGTAACTAAAGAACAGGAACCATCAAAAAGAAAATCCAAATACTTGTTGGGTTTTTTTTCCTTCTAGATCTGACACATCACATCCCCAGAGGGGACAAGTAGGGGGCACAGCACCAGCCCCTCCCATGGGGCCAAAGCAATGGGGGGGGTCCCTGATACAAAGGAAACCTTCCCACAGGGTAGGAAGGTGGCAGGGCCACCAGCCCTCCCTGTCCCCTCCCTGCATGGGGAGAGGAGCAGGGTGGCATGGCCTGGCCAAACCCAGTCCTGAGCCACTGCCTGGGCTGGAAAGTGACAGGACAAGAGGGGAGAAATGGGTTGGGGGAGGGGGGGAAGGGTTTTTTTTTGGTACAAAGGGAGTTTAAACTGAATTAATTCCCTTAAAGCCCACCCAGGGCTGGAGGCGTCCTGCGGCCCGCGCGCTCTCGTGCTGTGGGATTGGTTAAAATGACGAATTTTCGTATATTTTATTTAAAAAATAAAAACCACACGAAGGAGAAAAAAAAAAAAAAAAAAAAAGGAAAACAAAAAGACCCCTCTTTGTGCAGTTTGGCTTAGTGCAAATGGGCGCATTCCTGCAGGCACTTCCCGGGGCATCGCCCCGGAGGGAGCTGCTGCTCCCCGGAACAAGAGAGAGAAATGACAATACGAAGAGTAAAAACCCCCTGGGGGGGTAAAAGGAGGGGGGCAGGCGCCCACTTCTGCCCTGGGCACTGGGGCTGCCCCCCGGGAGGAACAGACACCCCCTTTCCCGAGCCCCCGCCGGCCACAGGCACAGCTTATTTGGGGGGTCCCCAAACCGGAGTGGGGAGGGGGCCGGGAGCAGCCGGCCACCCCCCCCCAGCCCCCACCTGCCAGGAGCGGGGTTGGATTTAGCTTATTTTCGAAGGAAAAAGAAGGGGAAGGGGGAAAAGCTCCCTGGCTGTGGGGCAGGGGGGGCTGTGTGTGTGTGCATAAAGCTTTCGGGGGGGCCGTTCCCTGAGTCCGGGGGGGCGGCCGGGGGGGCGCGAAGGCACCTCGAGTGCAAAATGTGCAAGAAGGAGGGAGCCGGCGCGGGGCCCCGTCAGTCGAGGAAGCGCTGGCAGGCCTTCTTCCAGCGGCACGCCGTGCACCACATCTCCCGGTGCTCCATGCCGTACACCTTGCGGCACTTCTTGGCATCGCCCCGCGGCCTCCTGCAGGAACAGGGCACAGGCAGGTCACAGGGAGGGGGGACACGCGGGCGGGAGGGGACAGGGCGGGGCACGACAGCCGTGGCTCACCTGGGGACAGCGGGTGGCTTGGGCGGCGGTGGGGTGGGCGAGGAAGGGGACACCGGTGGCCGCGGGGGGGTCCGGCAGCCCTGGAAGAGAGAGGACACAGCCCCCCTCAGACACGGGGTGGCTGCGGGGGCTGGAGGGTGACGGTGGTGAGCCCCCCGCCCATCCCTGTCCCCCTCCATCCCTGTCCCCCCTCACCTGGTACGCGTGGTCCGTGTGGACGTGGCAGCGGCCGGGGGGGCCCGGGGGGCTGCAGGGGGAGGCCAGTGCCAGGTCGGGGATTGGCAGTGCCAGCGGCAGCGGCAGAGCCGGAGCCTCGGGGCCGGGAAAGGCAGGAGGCACCGAGGAGGTGGGTGAGACAGGAGTCAGGCTGGAGAGCCCGTCCGTCAGCACATCCACGTCCACGTCCAGCTCCGTGTAGTAGAAATCCTCCTCGCCATCGCTCTGCTCGGGGTCAGCTTTCCGGCTGCAGGGACAGCAGGGTCTGGCTGCAACACTCTCCCCCTCCACGGTAGGACCCCGCAGGGGGCACCGGGGGACCTGGGGGTGTCCAGGGGGACCCCACGTGCTTACCCAAGGTGCACAGTTCGGATGTGCTTCTGCATCCCTGAGGAGCTGCTGAGGACTTTGCCACAGCTCTTCCACAAGCACTTGAACATCACCTTGGTGGAGTTCTGCAGGAGAGAGGTGTCAGGCTGGCAGCCCTATCTCCATCACATCCT